GATCCAGGTGTGACAAGAGCTGGCAGCAGGTGCCACTTGGGCTCTGAGGACAGGGCTGGGAAGGGCAGGGACGTGTAGCGATCAAGGGCATGGACTCTGTTCCGGTGCAAAACAAAGACCTTTATTTAATAATGTACATACTTATATGGCAGAACAATAGGCAATTCAAGCAGAACAACTGGCAATTTTCTACTTATGCTTACTCTCTCAAACTACATAATTCAATGCTTTAGCAGATACAAATAACTACAGTCCTTAGCAACCAAGGTCCTTCTTGCAGTCTTGTATCTTCTTCTTCCGTGTCTCCTTCTCCTTACCCTGCTTACCCTTCCCACGGCTTTCTGCCAACTAGTGCAACAATGTCCACTGTCCCTGGCCTGAGGGATGTGACACTGTTCACCTTCATAGGGACAGAGCTGCACTGGCCCACAGAGCCCTGGCACACCTGGAGGAGCCAGAGAGCTCCCAGGACCAGAACCAAACATTCCCTCAGCTTCTGGGTGGTGTCAGCACCAGGGAGGTGTCGCTGCTCCACTGTGCAGGCTGTGGAGGGGGATCCCCACACACTCCCTGATGGGCAAAAGGTGCCCCAGAGCAGCCGAAAGGGACCTGCCATGACAGACTGTGCTGGAAGGGGCTGCTCGGGCCGGTTCCAGCCAGTTCTGGGCATTGGCATCTCCATGGCAACTGCCAGGGCTGTGTGATGTGGGGCCTGCGGGTGCCCAGGGGCCACTGTGACACTGCGGGGCCTCCTGGAACTGAGGGGACATTGTGACCCTTTGGGCCCCACCCTGTCCGTGAGGTGTCTCAGGAGCCCCCCGGGTGCCCAGTCCAGCAGAGCAGAGCAGAGCACCTCACTCAGGAAGCAGCAGCTCTGTGCTGAGGCAGCCGCCTCCATCCCACCCCTCCTCCTCCCATCCGCAGCTGCCCCAGCAGCAGCTGATATCTGAGTTTTGAGATGTAGCAAGTACTAACAGTTTTTCCAGCAGAATGTACCATGGAAAATTGCTACATCTCAATTTAAAGAAATCAACCAAGCAAGGTGAGGAAACAATGAAGGGAGCTGAAGCAGCCGAGCAGGCAGTGCCAGGTTGATGTACAACCAGGAGCATTGTCCTAAAGAAATTCATAAGGCAGTCACTCAAAACACTGCAGGTCGAGACAGAGAAGACCACCGAAGACCCCCGATGAAGTCCCTCCAAGACCTTATAAGGATATGCATATATGCTAATATGTGTCGGGACATGTCATGAATACGTAACAGGAATGCAGGGAACAAAAAATGAACAATCATTTAATGCTGACATATAAGCTGTAGTGAAGAGACCTCTGTGTGCACTTGGGAGAACTGACTCCCAGGGCACCCAACGTGCTGTGATCATGCAGCACGTCCTAATAAAGAATGCCTGCCTCTAAAATTCACAAATTGAGCCTTGGGGGTTTCTTTTAGAGGCCGATTTTAGGCAACAAAGCTTCAGGGCAGCCAGGGCGAGGCCTGGTCCCTCCATGGGGACAGGCTGTCATGCTCCTCCAGCACACGGAGCTCCAGGAGCACCAGGAACCATTCCTGCAAGTCTGGGGCTGCTACCTGGGATCTCAGCTCCTTTGAGGAGAAGTGAAAAGACTGCAGGAGATGCCCAGAAGAGTCTTGGGTAGATCCTGGAAGATTCAGGTTCCACAAAAAAGAGAAAAAACATTTCAGCTACCTGCCTTGGAGGAGTCTCAGGCTGATATCCTGGAATTCAGATCCAAAATCAGAGATAAAGACTCTGGAGGATGCCTGGGAGGAGTCTCAGGTAGATCTTGAAGATGCAGGATCTGCCAATGAAGAAAAAACATCTTGGGTAACTACCCTGGAGTCTGGAGCTGATACACAGGATTTCAGATACTGAAATCAGAGCTAAAGACTCCAGGAGAAGCCTGAGAGGAGTCTCAGATAGATCCTGGAAGATCCAGGAACTACAGAAAGCAAAAAATCATCCCCTGGAGCAGGGGGTTGCTACCTGGGATTTCGGGTCCCCAAATCAGAGACAAAGACTCCAGGCAATGTTTGAGAAGGGTCCAGCTGGAAAAAACAGAAAAATCATCTCAGGAACTTGACTTGGAGCTTCTACCCAGGATATCAATTGTCTAAATCAACAGACAAAAAGACTCCGAGAGATGTCAGAGGAGTTTCAAGTGCATCACAGAATAGACAGCTAATTCCAAACAAGCAAAAACATATTGGGAAGCTTCCCTGGAAGAATCTGGGGGTGCTTTCAGGGAACTCATCTTCCTTGAGGAGATGTGAAGACTCCAGGACGCACCTGAGAGGAGTCTCAAGTGGATTCCAGAGCAAAAATTTACCTCCAAAGGAAAAAACCATATTGGAAACCTTCCTTGGAAGATTCTGGGCCCACAGTGAGCAACTCAGGTCCCAAAATCAGAGATCAAAAGAGTCCAGGAGAATCCTAGGAGGAGTCTCAGGTAGATCCTGAAAGACTCAGGATGCACAAGAAAAAAGAAAAATCATCTCAGGTAACTTCGGTACCCTTGGAAGAGTCTGGAGCTGCTCCCTGGGATCTCGGCTCCCTTGAGGAATGAAAAGACTCCAGGAGATGCCTGGGATGAGTCTCAGGTGCATTCAGTAGGATACAATTTACCATGAAAGCAAAATATCATCTCGGGCAGCTTCCAGGGGAGAGTCTGAGACCCCACCCGGGTTGTGGAGTCACCGTCCCTGGAAGTGTTTAAGGAAACACTGGGCATGGCACTCAGTGCCCTGGTCCAGTTGACATCGTGGTGTTCGGTCAACTGATGACGATCTCAGAGGTCTTTTCCAACCTAATTGATTCTGTGATTCCAGGTCCCCAAATCAGAGATCAAAACTCCAGATAATGCTTGAGAAGGCTCCAGCTGGATCCCAGATAAGACCTTTTCCTTCAGAAGAGAAAAATCACCATGGGTACCTGCCTCGGAGGGGTCTGGGGCTGCTACCTGGGACCTCAGCTCCTCAGCAGAGCTCTGAAAAGGCTCCAGGATATGCCTGGGATGAGTCTGGGGTGCACCCAGGAGATGTCCTGGTTTTAAGCCCAGAGATTAAAACACCACACAGCTACTTGCTTAACCTGCACCCCACCCCCCCTTTCTCCCCATCGTGATGGAAAGGGGAGGAGAATCTAAGTAAAACTTGTATGTGGAGATAAGAACAGGTTAACAATTGAAAATAAAGTAAACCACAGTAATAATGGTAAATAATAATAATTAAAAATAAGGGGGGGGAAAACCCCCAAGTGATGCACAATGCAGTAGCTCACCACCCGTGGACCTGACCGATGCCAGACCCCCTTTCCCGAACCCAGATCGGCTCCTTAGGGGTAACTTCCCCCAGTTCATACACTGGCCATGATGTTCTAAATTATCCCTTTGGTCAGTTTGGGTCACCTGTCCCAGCTGTACTCCCTCCCAGTTTCTTTTGTGACCCTCCTCCCTGGCAGAGCACGAGAAAAAAAATACAATAAAATAAAATAAAATAAGCCTTGACAACTTAGCAAAAAACCAAACCATGAGTGTGTCATCATTCCAAATCCAAAACACAGCACTGTAACAGTGACTGAGAAGAAATTAACTCTATCCATCTGAAACCAGGACAAGTCCCATCCAGATACTTTCAACAAATAATAGTTTTGAATTTATTTACTAGGTATCTGAGTAGCCCTCAGTCTATAGATTGCAAAGTGTATGTATTAAAACAGCTGATTCAATTTAAATACTTATCTTGCCCATATGTCGAATGCCTGATCCCAAATTTCTGCTGCAGACACTTGCTTTTAATAAAAATTTATTTTTTCTGTATCGTAGGAAAGAACATTTTAGTACAGTTATCTGTTAAAACAGCCTAAACCAAAAGCTTTCCTCTGATGGGCCCGCCCTGAGCCCCCTTTTCCCCCCAAGTGGCTCCCACCGCCTCAAGAAGGGGCCAAGCCATCTTCTGCTCGGGCTGCCCCCGACCCTCGCAGAGCCCCAGGCTGAAGCCTCTCCCGCCCCACAGCGACCCCCGCAGCCCCTCAGAGGTGGAGGTGACTCCCAGGGGGTCCAGGGGTCTCCGGGGGGTGTCACAGGATAATTGGTGTCGCCTCTTTATTCTCGGTGCAGGTGCACCCCCCCGCCTCCCCGCCGGACCCTCCCGTTCCCCACCGACCTCTCCCGCTCCCGGGACTCTCCTCCACCTCCGCGTGCCATGGGGGGTGACACAGGACAATGGATTATAGGTCTCCCTTGTTTATTCTCCATACAGGTGGGACCCCCCCCCCTTCCCCGCCGGACCCCTCGTTCCGCACTGACCTCTCCGGCCCCCCCAGAACTCACCTCCACCTCCAGGTGGTCCGGGCGGTGTCACAGGATAGCGGGTCTCCCCCATCTATTCCCTGCACAGGCGGGACACCTTCCCCTTCCCCGTCGGACCCCCCGTTCCCCCCGACCTCTCCGGCTTCCCCCCCGACGGCGAAGACCCCGCTGTGCCCCCCCGGCCGGCGACCACGGCGGCGTTCCGGCCCCGCGGGCGCCATCCCAGAGACCCTTCTGGTGGCCACGACCAGGCCGGCGCTGCCCGAGGGCCCCCGCCCGCAGTCCCGCCGGGCCCCGGGGTCGGGGCCGGGCCGGGCCAGGCCCCTCACCCCGAGCGGGAGCAGCTCCCGGGGCCATCCCGGGCCCCTCACCCCGAGCGGCCGCAGCTCCCGGGGCCGGGCCCCTCACCCCGAGCGGCCGCAGCTCCCGGGGCCGTCCCGGGCCCCTCACCCCGAGCGGCCGCAGCTCCCGGGGCCGTCCCGGGCCCCTCACCCCGAGCGGCCGCAGCTCCCGGGGCCGTCCCGGGCCCCTCACCCCGAGCGGCCGCAGCTCCCGGGGCCGTCCCGGGCCCCTCACCCCGAGCGGCCGCAGCTCCCGGGGCAGCGCCGGCGCCCTCGGCCCCGCAGCCCCGCTAGGCGGCGCCCCCGCCGGGCTCGCGCCGCGCTGAGGGGCCGCCGCCGCCTCGTCGCTTCCCGCCCTTTTCGCCCTTTCCCCTCAGCGGCCCCAGGGAGGGGCCGCCGACTCGCCCGCCCCCCGCTTTTTCTCCGAGGCCATGGAAAAAGAAAACCCGTTTAAATTGTTCGTGCCGCCGCGTCTGAGCGCTGGGCAGCCGTCTGCGGTCAGAACCCAGGTGAGCTCTCGGGCCGCGGGGCTGCGTCAGGGACAGGGCGCCGTCGGCCCCGCCTCGGGTTTGTGCTGCTCTGGAGGCCGTGGCTGAAGAGGGGGCGGTGGGACAGCGCAGGGGCCCCTCCCCGGGGACACGGGGACAGTGCTCTGTCCGGGGAGTCCCTCAGAAGAGCCCTGAATTGAAGCGCACACACACGTGCGAGAAAGTCTGCGCACTAAACTCATATACTATATGTACTGCTAAGATTGGTGCTGGGGGAAAACATCTTCAGTTTCAATTTCAAAGCCTTTTGCTGTTGTTTCTGTCAAAACTGAAGGGAGTCACATTCTCGAGCATCTGCTCTGAATTGTAGCTGTACATCGCTGATGATAAATCCACGTTTGATGTAATTCAGCACAGTGAGTGAGCAGTGCCCCACTCAGGTGCTCACAGTGGCTTTGATGTTTTGCTCTCACCTGATCAAGTGTGCAATGAAAATGTTCTGTTACCACACTGAATTATGTGAATTCAACAAGTTATTTTTTCGTGTCGAGGCTCCTTTTGAAATCTATTTAGATTCAAATGGGATATTCTAACAGGAGATGAGTTTCGCTATTTACAACGCGAACTTCTGTTACTAAAAAAGGACTTGTAAAAGGACATTTTCGTGCTAAAACATAATCACATGTGGTTTAGAGCTGCCCTTGGAAGTAAAGCAAAAAATAAATATCAACTATTGGCCTTCAAAGAAATAATTTTGCTTCCTGAGTCCTTTACCATGCACCTGTGCACAGACAGGCAAGAGCTGCTGAGTGTTCTACATCAAAAGCTCCCCCTTTGACCTCAGTCTATAAAGCAAACTACAGAAGACCAACAGTTTGATAAACCACTGTGAAGTAAGAAGCAAGCGAGTTCCAAAGGCATTACCAGTGTCTTGGGCTTTGAAAATTGTAGTCAGTTCCTTTCTTAATGAAAAATTCTATTTTCACATTAGCTGTACTTTTTTTTCCTGGATTTTATAATCCTTCTTTACAAACCTACCCATAAGAAGCTCATTTTAAAATTTGTGCAGGGTTTTAACAAATGCCCAGGTGATGATTTTAAGTTGCCATTCCGTACCCTGAACCGTGGTGAAGTCGCTGATTCAGGTAAGACTAAAATGAACATTTACCTTGCATATTCTTTAATTTTTTTAATATTGTCAAGTTTTAATATTCATGAGTAGTCTTAACAGTCTCATAACTGTAATGCTGTTAAATACAGTTTCACTGATACTTTTTTTAGAAATACATTGATAAAAATCTTTTCATATTTCAGCTACAATGTCACAGCAAGTAAAACTTTGCTCTGAAGTAGATGAAGAGGTCAGCTAAGTATCAACTCTGCATATCTAACTTCTTGGGGCCTCTTAATTTGTTCCCAAGCAGTGCCTAAAGCATTATTCAGTAGATAATTTAGGACTAAAGGAAATAGTCAGAAGGGAATAATCATGTTCTGTCTCCTATTTAAAAGTGAATCAGTTAGAGGAGATATTTGCGATTTAGTGAACAAGCCTGGAGACAAACCTTTAAAAATTAAAGTGATTCCAAGTTTGTTTGTTATTTTTGGTTTTGTTTTTTTTTTTTTTTTAAGTGTCTGGGAAGTCTGGGGGTTTTAATCCACTTAGATATCTTTGTGGAAGTGGTTCTGAATAGTCTGTTGAAAGGCAGAAGGATTGAAGTCAGAGTATCCTTTGGAAAACCGAAGTAGATTATCCCAGTTGTCTGCTCTGGGTTTATTTTATCTGTAAAACAATTAATGTAGTGGAGTGGTTTCCTCAGGCATTGGATTCTTTTCATAGCATCTTTACCAGCATTTTACTGCTTTGGTACGGCTCAGTAAAGCTCGTTTCTTTGCAGTACCTTCTGTACTTCCCATATTCAAAATGCTGTTTGTTGCCACAAAATAAAACACATTTCTTGCAGTTCTCCTACTGATATCCCCAAGGACTAAAGTTCTTTTAATCCTGGCAGCTGTTAAAGTACAGTCAGGACTGTCACGGTGTTGTGATGCAGCCAAAACAAGGATAGTGTGAGGGGAAATCCTATGTAAGCCAAGCTGTCCTGTGGCCTCCTGTGCTGCTCTGACCTCCCTCGACCACTGACCCAGCGTTGCTTGTACAACACTTCAGCGATGTTCTAAGAGCACAAGGTTGGGTGGTTTTCCTCCCTGCTCTGTGTATGAGTTACCTGCAAAAACATACTGCAGGTACTCTTGAGCAAAGTGTCTGAAGCTGCTTTTACTGAGCTTGGCAGTGTCTGTCAGAAGGAGAGGAGGGAAATGGTGTGAAGAACCTGAGAGGAGAAATTTTGGCTCTACTGATAATTCTAGCAAAAGTTTTATTGGTTTTGGTAGAGTGCAGTTATCCGTTTCTTGAAGACCATCTATTTGGTGATGTCTGAAGGCAGTTGGGGGTTTTTCACTTGTGTTTGTGTCTCCTACTTTCTCTGTAATGTCTGTTGTTACAGACACAGTGGATGCACAAAGATTTAAACTTTGGCTCCTGATCGTGTATAAGCTTGTGTCACCAACTGTGGAAAAAAAATACTCCCTTCTAAGAGATAAATATGTTAGCTGCAATATTATTAATTAAATAGCATTTGAGATTAAATTGTGAAACCTGTTTTAATAGAATATAGAAACAATGAATGAATTGTACTCAAAACTCTACAAAGAGGCTGAGAAGATCAAGCAGTGGAAACTGTCTGTGGAATCAGAACTAAATCAGAAAGAAAGAAAACTGCAAGAAAATAGAAATATTATTGAAGCACAGCATAAAACCATTCAAGAACTGCAGGCCAGTATTGTACAATATACATTGAATAGAGTTAAGAGAAAGTGCTTCCTGATTTAGTATGACAATATTATTCATACAGTTCAGTATTGAAGAATGTTGCAGTTTGATTTGTGCCTTAAGAAAACAGTTATTCTGAGAAGGGGTGTGCACCTGTCCTGTGTGAATGTGTGTATGAAGAACATACCTGTAAGTGTTTCAGTTGCTCGTAAATTATCGTTTGTTATTATGTCTTTAATGCAAAAGATGACTCAGCATGTGATACTAGATAAAACTTCTGTCTTCTGACCACAAAATTACTTTTTTTGAGAAGTCACAGTGTATTTCTGGTATATTTTTCAGTAACAATGTCTTTTTGTATTTGTTCCCTATGGAATTAGTTTGAAAATGAAAAACTCCATTTAAAACTGGAAGATGAGCTATGTGAAAAGAAAGATCTCTTGAAAGAGTAAGTAATAGAGACAATTTTTTTTGGGGGGGTGAAAATAATTAGTTTTCACACTGAGAACTGTGCTGTTAAATTGTAAAGGTTATTTACTTTGGTACTCCTTAGGTACACAAAGCACTGCACTCTTGTGACAGCATATTATGGTATTTTTCCCTCTTTTAGAAACACCGCTTCAAGGCATCTGTGCAATCTGCTCAAGGAAACCTGCACTCACTTCACAGAGAAGACCAGCAAATGTAAATGCTTTTTTAATTTTGATTTATAAAAGTAAATGTATTTCTAGCTTGCTCTAAATTCACCAACAGAATAAAGTTCTCATGCTGTTCCAGTCTGTTCTGCAGTTCAGATGAACTGGATGTGGCTCTTAAAATGAGAAGTGAATTTTAGGTGGCTCACAAAATTAGAAGTGAAGCCGTAGGTCTGACACGTGTGCTTTGTAATGTTAACTCCAGAGGTTTTCTGAAGCCAGTATCATTGTTTACAGTCCCTTACAGTTTCCAAGCCTGGGAGATCTTTGGTTTGAGGCAGGGTCAGACCCTGATCAGCTGGCAGTCCCTCCAGAGCAGTGCAGGTCTCCTGAAGTCTGGGCTGCCCATTGAAGGGTTTCAGTCCCATCCAGACACCTTGAATGTATGAAGACATATGAGGTGGCACTTCATGCCTGTTGAGGCTCTTCCCAGCACTCTAACAAATTTCCAGAACTGGCATTTCCTGCTCGGAGCAGTTACACATTGGTGGGGAAAAGAGATCCCAACCCCAAGGCACAAGGAGTAACCAGCATTCTTCTCGCTGAACTGACCAAGCCAAGACAGCTGGAGAACTTAATGAAGTTTAAGTTCTCGAGGGTTTAAAATATGTTCTTGGCGGGGGATTTTGTTTTATATGCAGTTCAGAATTGGTATTATAATCGTTAAACTTTTCCGAACTTGATCCCAGGTACTTAAGAAGTGTCTGTTTCTTTTTAGCTTTAATTCTAGAAACACACGTGTATAGATACACTGTTCTTCTTTGATAGCTGTGTTTCCTACTTCAATCTTCTATGATTGTTTTCTTAGGGAACAATAGTAGCAATTACAAAAATGAAGGAAAAAAAGAAAATATGGACATGGAGTGTTGTTACAAGTCTCTAATGACAGTTCTGTGGTCGTAGGTATCTCTGCTGATGGGAAGAAATTTAGTGCTGAACTCTGTATTAGAGTTTATCAAACACTAACATTTTTGATACATTAATATTCAACAACATTAATAGTATAAGAATTGATATAGTTATATAAATTGATCCAGAAGTACACTTTTCACAGAAAAAGTGAGATTGAGAAGGAAATTTAAAAGCTGAGCTTGCTTGGTGTTTCAATGGAACATACATTTTCCCTAGATTACATAACTTTTGGCACTCTGATTCATAATTACTGTTTTTTAATAAGAAAAGATAATTCCTCTTTTAATTCATTATGCTGATTAAGCATAATGGCTTGGACAGCTGGCATTCTTTTCAAAAGAAAAACTACTGTACATTCTTGCTTTGATAGATGAACAGGAAAGAGAAGAAACAAGACAACTGTACGAGGAACTTCACAGCAACATAGAAGTAAGTGATGTGGCTTGTTAAAAGGCTGGAATGGGAGTTCCAGGGGTATGTTGAGCTGAGTTATGTGCTTTTGTTGGGATACTGTTTGTGTCCATCATCTGTGTGGATCATGTCATGTGTGATGCAGGAAGTCAGACTTTCAGTTTTTTTCAAAACTGATTTTTGCATTTATAAAGCACATTGAGTGGATGAAGTGCAGCAGCGTGTGGGAGGTAAATCCCTGTGATCTGTGTGGTCTGTGTGCAGTGTGAGGTGACCTCCAGAACTTCTGTCTCCTTTTTGTGCTCTCTTTCACCTGAGTTCTGTTTCACCTACCTGGGAGTTTCTCAGAATGGCCGAGGTTGGAAACCGCCTCTGGAGAACTTCCAGGGTTTCCAATGCTGAACTTCAAATACTGAACTTTGTTTTTTAGAGGATGACAGTGGCGTTTGAAGAGCTTCGTGGGCAAGCAGAGAATGACAGATTGGAAATGAGTTTCAAATGTGAGAATTCTCTTTGTTATATTTATTCTTCAGGCACAACAGTTTTGTACTTCATAGCTTTTATTGCACCTGCAGTGTCAAGGCAGACAGATGTGAAGTGCTCAAATGGTGAGCGGGTGACTCTGGGACATTGGGACCCTCTTTTATTCATGCTGCCTGCTGTTCACTGCCTGGGCCCTTTTATTGTTCCCCTGGGCCAAATTTGGAACTTTATTTTTCAAATAGTCGCTCAAAGTCCAATGTTTCTCTGTGGCTACAGTCTGGAGATCACCACTTATTTTATGTAGTTGATGTATTTAAATGATAATGCCCTAGTGTGTAGCTACAGGAACTTTATTAAATACTTGCTTTATATATATTATACTTGCTATATATACTATGTGCCTGTTTAATCTTTACATGGGCATTTCTGTTAGTTTCTTGTAACAAACATGGAATAATGGACTAATTCTGTGCAAAACTGGCAAAAAAGGTGTTTTGTCTAATTATAAAATCAAGCATTATGTCAACAATTGCTTGTTAGGAAACGAATTGTACAATTACAAGCAATCTTAAACTGGAAAATTGTATTGAACTTGGAGTATCTTTCAGCTAGAATGTTAACTATGGATATTACTGTATCTCAAAAGTAAAAGAAGAAGCAGAAAAAATGGAGAAGCTCAAAAGAGATTGCAAACTGGAAGTCAGTCAGAAGGAAGAGCAGGTTTGCTGAGTTTTACAATCTAATACACACAGCTTTATTTGTGAATGAAGGGGCAATGCAAGGGCCAAGGAGTTTCTGGGCATTGGTAAAAAAGACAAAAATAACAACTGGAACTGCATTTAAGTCATATTCTGCTAAATTAAGTGATGTTCAGTATCTTTAGTTTGTTAGAATTCATGTTCTGATTTTGAACTGGAGAACTTTTTCATTCCTGGCTTGATCAATATTTGGCTCAGACCAACCACCTTCTCTAACTCGAATCCCAGCAGAATGTCTGCTCATCCTCCACGGGGCACAAATGAAAATGGGAATCTGTCCTTTCTCTAGACTTCATTGTGATATTATTTTAATTTTGCTAGATTTCAGCTCTTATCATACAGAGTGATGAAAAAGATGATGTAATAAGAGACATCAAGGCTCAGCTGCAGGAATCACAAAATAAGATTGCTGACTTAATAGAAGAAAAAAGTAAGAGTCCTCTCTGCTGTGTTAAAATGTAGTTGTTTATAGAAGCATAGGAAACAGGCTCATGATAATTTCACTCTGTTACTAGTCAGCAACAGAATTTTGGGGCCTTGCAGGCCTCAGTTTTGTTTGGAACAGAACTGCTGATGTGGGATCAGAACTGGCAGGGTCGTTTTTAGGGCGAGTCAACAGTGAGGGCTTTTGAAGATTGCAAGGGGAGAATACATTGCTTGAGTTTTGCATATTTACAGTCAGACAGGTGCCATTGAGGAGGAAACTTATTTTTCAGAACTTGATTTTCAATATTTTTAAGCCATTTATATTCAAAATATTTGTAGTATATGATGCCAGTACCTTTGGTCTTTGTTAAATTCTATGACCATGTTACATTTTTAGCAGCATTTTTTAGTAACTACTCTATTTTTCTTAAATAATAAGCATACATCTTTTTGCATTGAAGGAGAAATGTTAAAGGAATCCCAGGTCAATCAAGAACATTTGAGAGCAGAGCTGAAGGAGGCCAAAACTTCATTGGAAAAGGCAGAGGTACAACTTGTTTATGGTTTTCCAGCATAAATAGATTAGATGAGTAATTACATAAATAATTACTGATACTTTAGACATGAAACAACTGTAGCTCTTTGTTGCAAAACATATTTAGAAATGATATAATTTTTTGAAGGTTACTCAAAAGAGCTTAGAAAACGAATTCCAGACTACAGTGAAAACATTAATTCAGGTCACTGAAGAAAAAGAAGCACAGGAGGAAGAATGTAAAAAAACTAAGGCTTTGCATGCAGCCCTGACAGCAGAGTTTGAGACTTCTATTGCCAATTTGAAAAGCTTGCTGCAAAAAGAGCAAAATAGGTAAATTAAAAAGTTTTAAGTTCAAAGAATGGTCTTACAGGTTGCAGTTTATGACAAAATCAAGAACAGTTGGACGTGAAGCTGAAATTCAGAGGTTTTTTGTCACAGTGGTCTAAATGGAGAGAATTTAATGTAATCTTTTTTTGATTGTGCTGGTTGATACTGGTTTATAAAAAAAATACATTTTCCCCCCCTCCTCATAATTCTCTTTAAGAAATACAGATTTCTGTGTGTAAATATTTGCTTACTTTTGTGTCTGTTGTTCTGAAGTTGTAAAAGTGCAATTTGATATGTGTTGCAGGCAGATATACCATCTGCCTGTTGAAAGGCAAATGTTCTTAAAGTGCTTGTGGTAAGACCTGGTCTTATTGTCCTTTAAGTTTTGAATGAAGTGTTTTGTATATATACTGGGGTTTTTTTAATTACCATTTTCTTAGATTAGAGAAATGTGAAGACGAGTCCAAGCTGCTTACCTTGGAGCTCAGAAATAAATCTGCTGAACTGGGTAAGACTTGTAGAAAGCCAGAAAATGTTTTCTGCTGTTTTCTGGAAATGGACTGTCTCTGTTGCTTGGAGAAATGGTTTTACAGTACCTGTACCTGTCAGGAATGCTTCAATTTATTTTCACTCATCTGCCTCCCTTTTCTTTGATGGTCACTGTAACTGGCAACAGCCAAACCACAGTGCTGGGCCGACCTCCAGTAGTGAGACCATCCATGCAGGGCTCTCCTGGAATCAGTTTGGTTTCCAGCTAAGGCTGGTGGCACTGCAGAACTGTTTGAGAGGTGTTACACTGCTGAGCAGCAGGTTCCAGGAATGACTTCTGTAGCTCGTAGCAGTGACAAAACCTCCTGTTAAGGTTTCTGCAGACCAGTTGGATATGGAATGACACAGTGGTTGTCTTTAAATGCTGCTTTGATGTGCTGTGGTTTCTAGGTAGGTGCTCCTTAGCCCCCAGAGTAAGAGGTCTGTCTTCAGCACTTTTGCTGCTGTGCAGCACATGTCTCTAGTCCTCATGTGACAAATGAGAAATAGAATTTGATGTCCCTGGGTACACTGAGGGCATCTGAAGAGTGTTCCAAAGTGAACTGATGATGCTTGTCTAGAACGGGCGAGATGTGACCTGGGAGAAGTCCAGACCCAACATGACCTCAGTGTCCATTGTAAAATACCAGCGTGCACATAGAAAACATTTTGAAGTTAGTAATAACTGGTTTCCTTTCTCAGCATGTCCATGTCAGTACCTTCAGCAGTTCAGATTCTTTTTCTGGAACAATTCAGATGCATCAATACCTGGAGATGACTCCGTTCTTACAGTCCACGGTTCATTTGAAGACGTAACTGTGGAAGACATAATAGACTCTGAATTTTATAAAAGATAAATTATTAGTTTCTCTTCAGATATATATTTGCTAGTGTCTTTCTTAATCATATTTTCAAGTCTACATTTAGATTAAGTCATAAGTTAGCTTTACAGTTTCTGAACTTAATCAAGTTAACTTAAACAAGTTTCAAAAATCAGGTATTGCAAAGGGAAAATTGTTTTATATTGCCTGCTAAATATGAAAAATTATTTCTGTTCCATTAATTTTACATTACATGTGCTGTAGAAGAGATGACTAAACTAAAATGTGACAAAGAAATGCAGGTTGAAGAACTGTCAGGAACACTGGTAAGTGTTCGTTTTATTAGTCTCATGGCATTTACTTTTCTAAATCTGCATTTACTTTTTTAAATCTGAAATTTCTCTTGCTTTGTAAGTATGTTAAGTGCCATATATAAACACTGTTTATTCTGCCTTGATGTTTCTGGTAAACACACAATTTCAGTGTTTTCTTTGAAGGACTTGATTCTTTCCACTGTTTTTCTTGTCCTGTTGTGCTTTGTTTTGGTTTTCCTTGTTAAGGTTTCCAGTCATTTCCTTCTTCATTCACACCTATTTAAATGCCACTCCCTCTGGACATAAAGATTTCCCTTTTTTTTCCTTACTTGTAGGGAGGTAATTAGCTCTGGTGTCAGTGAACCCTCCTGCACTGTGACACAGGCCCATGTTCTGTCCCAGAAGTCTAAGATATATGAAGTACCTTCTTAATAGAGTTTTATTTTCATTATGATTTTATATTCACAAGTCTAACAAGAAACTGTATCAGCTAAAGTAGGATAGTGTGCATTTTACCATGTCTGTTTATTCCTTAAAAATCTGCATTGAATTTTCTGAACTGAGTCTCACTAATGTTCTAAAACAGGAGAAAATTGAAGGACTTTTACTGAAGAAGGAGCACCTTGAGGCTACTGTGGAAAGTTTGCAGGAGAGAGAAGAAGAAACAAAAAATGTTCTCCAAATGAGAGAGGTCTGATAAAAGGGCAATAATAACATGTTTTTATAAATAGTTAAGTTACACATTGTAACTTGTATAGGAGAACATAAGAAATGGCATGGAGTCAGAGCAGTGCTGCACCCTGAGCTGCTCTGCTGGTGACAGTGGCAGCAGGAGCTCCTCTGCCCTAGAGGAGCCCGTGGTCCCTTGCTCTTGCTTTCCCACAGTATCTGTATTAAGGAGGAGGACACATCCCTGTCAGTTGCCCTTCTATTCTGTCACATGGTACTGGAATTCTGTGATTTGGTTTTAGTCTTTTTTGTTTAGGTAAATGTAAAAGCTTATGATGTCTGAAGTGAATGTCTTTATTTACAATGATGTCCAAGAAAACTAATTTAGTCAGTAATTTTGCAGACTGGTTAATTAGACTCACAGTGGGGGACATGTCCAGCACTCATGTCACTGTCTCACACCCCTTCCACGTCCAGCAGAGAGATGTGAGGATGTGGTCGGGATAATCTCTGGCCTGGATGCTGTTGGGTCCATCTGAAAGCTCTGTGCTCTCAGTTCATGGCTGGTGACTTTCACGAGTTGTAGTTTAGATGTGTAAACTCAAAACTCCTCTTTTTGCAGAAAGAAATCCACGATTTGAAAGCACAACTGACTAGTACAGCTGAAAAGGAACAAGATTATTTGAACCAGCTTTTGACTCTGAAAACGGATCTTGAACAAGAGATGTATGACCATCTTTGAAAATATAATATTCAAAATTGGTTTTGTGTTACATAGAAGTTACTTTATTACACAATGAATGATCTATGATTGTTTTCTAATGAAAATTTTGAACAACACAGTATGACATTCATTATATACTTGTATTTATGAATTATATTTTCTCTGTTTGTATGTATGGAGTTGTTCCATATCTGTGACCCAGTTGTATTAACATGAAGAGAAAGTTTCTAAATTCGTTGTTAATCCTGCTTTGAACTACATCATCTTCAACTATCATTATATTTATATAAAAGTTGACTTGTTTTCTTTCCTTCTTCTGTTGCCTTTTTGCATCACTGTGACTTTGCTGCAAACCTTAAATTTGTAGATAAAGGCCTGGACTTTTTCCAGCCTGAAGTAACACTTGATAATGGACGAATTTAACTTGAAAGGAAATTTCAAAATGCACGTTCTTATTTCTCCTGACCATTTGTTTTACATTAGGTTAAAGAATGAACAACTGACTGTGTGTATCAATAAGCTTTCACTAGAGAAGGAACAAATAGCACAAGAGAAAAGTGATGTGGCTGCAGAACTCAAGAAACTGCAAGAAAGTCACAAGGCAAGTTGTAGACTTCCAGCTGCTTTTAGATGACAATACTCAATTTAAAGTACAAATCAGATAGTAAACTGCAACATGCCATGGTTCTGTAGAGTACCTGAACTGTTTTTTGTGTCTGAAATACAAAGGAAGCACAGTTACCCTTGCGAATAAGGCAGGTCAATGTGCTTTGGATGCCTTTACATTTTTTAAGATGTCACCTTGAATTTACACGGGTCTTTATTTAGGATAGCAAGAAAAATGAAGAGAATACAAAGCAGTTAGTTGAAAACCTGGAAGAGGCAAACGACCAGCTAAGGCAAGTAAAACCAAATCTTAATATCTGATATTATTAAAGGAATTAGACTCAATTCCATCACAGTTAGTCTGAGTGTTGTGTTCATATGCTGCTTTCTGTGATTTCTGATTAATGTTCTTTTTAGATTATATAGCTAAACAGAAACTCTGTTGGCCATTGTAGAAATTTTCTCAAATTAGAGATACCTATTGCTACAGGAACAATTTTTGCCATAGCTTTGTATTACATAGAAGGAACTGTCCTGTTTTGCATTAGACATTTTAGGTGGGAAGGAAATGAAAATAAAGGTTCAAGGTTATGAATTAAATGTGAAAAGGTAAAGCTGGTTAAATGTCAGTCTTTGCAGTAATCTCTGTACCAGCAGTTCCAGGCAGCCTTCCATGTTTCACAGCTGCATTACAATATTACAGCTTAGGATATATTTTCCTTAGGTAAGGGGAACACCTTTCCATACCTTACAAAACGTATGGACAGGTCACACATTAACTTGTCAGGCACTTTGCTTCATTGTAAGAACATTTTCATTGAACAGCTTATGAAATTCCCATCAATATTAGCAGCTCTTTCTAGAAAATAAAGTATGTCTTTACTGAAAAGAAGTTAGATTTCTTAGTAAACATTAAGCAGTAAAGAGGTTCTTAGTAAATATTAAATATTTACTAATGCTTGTTAATTTGGCCTTCAGAAATGAACTGGAGTCTTTGAAGGAGAAAATGGCAAAGACAGGGGAAGAGATTGAAAGTAAACTGGATGAAAGAGAAGAAAATGTATGCTACATCCTGTGCTTTGTCGTGAAAATATACAACATAACCTGTAGGACAGAATGGAAATGCAAAATGTTTGTGGGGTTGTTTCCTGCAAGGCTCTGCCTCGGGGTGTGATCTCTGCCAGAGGGTGCTGCTGTCGGGGCTGCTCCAGGTGTGCCAACGTGTGCACATGCTGAGCCCTTTCATTTTAAAAGACAGGGACCTTCACTGGGATGTTCACTCTTTGCTTGAAGGCTTAAAATTAGCTTGTTAGACATCAGGCAAACAGGAACGTCCTTTCCTTTATTTCCATATCCCCACTGAGTGATGGATGGGGTCTCGATTAGCTTTCAATATATAATATGAGTTTCAGCTTAAAGAGGTTAAAATATTTTTACTTTCTTACTCTAGTTTGAAAGCACACCTGTTTTTTTAGCGTTAGAATGGATTTCAGAATTTCATTGTAAAACTCAAAAATTTATAATTGTGATTCCAGGTTAAAACTATTGAAAATGGAATTTCGAGAAAGGCAAAGCAGTTGAAGATTGTAGGAAGTAACTAGGAAAATTAATTTTTTTCATGGATTGTAGGGAACCTGACACAAGATTGTTTTTTAAATTGTGAAGTTACTTTTTTTTTTCCCTTCTTTCTTCTCTTTAAACTCTACAACCACCGAGGAACTGGTTCACTGCCATTAATTAACATCTTCTAGTACTTTATGGCTGAAACTCCGATCACTGTAACACGGCAGGTTGTGTTTCAGTTTGCTGGAGTAAATCAGGCAAATGCACGTGTGAGAATGTTGACAGTAATCTCTGACACAGGGAGGCATTGGTAGGAGTTATTCATTAATGTTTGAAATATCTCTTTTAGATGAATAATTTAAAGAAACAGGTGGAAAATAAAACCAAATGCATTGAAGAGTTGCAGCAGGAGGTGTGTACAGTTTTTAAAAGTCACAAATACATAAGAGATGGTATTTTGTGGTGACTGTTACTTTTCAACAGGTTTTGTCTGCTGTGATATCTTTAGATACACCTATGTAATTGATAATTTCCTTTCTTATCCTAACTCTGAGCAGATTAAGGAGTCACCTTTGAAATTATTTGATTTGTTAAATTATCCTTCATTTGAAAATAGCAATTACAGAAATAATATCTATAATAAACATTTACTTTTTTCATTTAGTATATGGTATTATTTATGGACTTGTAGTAAAGCCCTGTCTCAGTTACCACTAGTAGAAAAGAACTGTGCATTAGCACAAATTGTCATAACTTCATTTTTATTTTTTGTCATGACATCTGCACCCCTTCTGTCAGCAGCATCTTAGTTTTCATTCCCATTGTGCCCCTCATTTGTTATTCTCTGTTGCTGCCCGGGAGGAGCCTTTCATAAGGTCTTGAAGGAACAGGTTAATCCCAGGAATTAGTGGAGCATTCTTTTTGGTTTGAGAATTGACCGGAACCTGAACTGCTCAACAGAGTTATTTGCTTGATGAAAGCTGGAATTTTTTAAGATTCTGACCTGCTTGATGCAGTTAAAGCATTACAGAATTCTATAAACTTTTTAAAGTACAGTGTTTGTTTTGCTTTATTTCAACAGAATAAGGTGCTGAAAAAGAAAATTACTGCAGAAAGCAAGAAAACCAGTATTTATGAAGGAAAGGTAGGTTTAAATTACATCATGTAGTAGATGAGGTGAGTGTTTTAAGTCCCAGTATAACTAATGATAATATTATGTAAATACATTCTGAACTAGTCTATGGATCTGGGATACAGATTTTGCAGGAATGGGCCCATAATTTTTGGAAGGTATTTCCATTTTTACTCATTGAGCTCTGACTGGACTAGAAGACATTTAGAAGAGATGGACTTCACATCCCAAGGAATTATGTTCCTGATCAGTCCCTTTCTTTGTTTGGTTGATAGTGTACTGAATTCAGCAATCCCATTGAAATAGAAAAGCAATTAAAAGAAATACATACATTACTTGGGTACCACACTTCAAGAAAGAAGTGGACTTTTTTTAAGAGACTCTTACGAAAAACTTAAAAGAAAAAACTGTAATCAAAATGCACAATTGGGAGGACAACACACCATACAACTGGGAAAATCTGAAATAGATCTACATAGGAGGGAATAAAATCTCCATCTGTCTTTTTTTTCCAAGGAAGTCACAGCATTTAGGGTGACTGCTTAGGGCTGCCTTTCCCATTGGGCTCTTGCCATTGTTTCTGTGAGCATTTTCTAACTCACTTCAGGCCAGAGTTTAATTCTGTATGAAAAAAAGCTGAACTTCAAATAGGAAACAGTTCAGTCATATACCTGAAAGGTAACAGAGTGTTTCTGCTCAAAAATAAGAGGTAAAAAAAAAATCATTAGCATATTAATATCTGAACAAATAACAGCAACAATTCTGCATTCCCAAAAGGTGAATAAATTGCAGTTAGAGCTGGAAAATATGAACAAGCAACATAAGGAAACAGTTGACAGCTATCAAAAAGACATTGAAACAAAAAAAGTAAATGAAAATAAACTTCATGAAGAGGTGAGAGATGTTAATTTTTACTGCAGTTTGAAATTTTTTGGATGTATGATGGTTTTATGAAGCTTTATTGGCCAGTCCTTGCTCTTACGTTTCAGTCACGTCAACATACCTGGAACTTGTGTGTTTGCCTGAGAGCAAAGCTTTAGCACATTAGATGCTTAAGTTGAAGTATTTGTGTATGTCTTTAAAAATAGGAACCCAGTTAAAAATTCTCTTTATCAAGATATTGTTCAAAGAAATTCTATTCTCGGTGTAACTACAGCAGAGCCAAATTAGATTGTAACTTCTCCCATATTATTGTTTTTCTGCCCACACTTTTTCAATGGTAATGCAGGGGAAGTTAGGGCAGAGTGCTTGAGATGGTTCGAGGTGACACTTACCTGTCATGGATGTACTTTTAATCTATGTTTATTTGCCCATTTTAATAATATGCATAAAAAGTGTAGGATTTGAAAAGGTTCTTAAAAGCAAATGAAGCCTAAATGAGACTATACATACTTTGCACCCACAGGGGGAAGAAGAAATGAAACTAAGATTTTTAAAAAATACATATTGTTGTTAATTGTTCATGAATTAAATGAAATTTGTTACTATCAGGTAGAAAAGTTGAAGTTGCTTTATGATGAAGCAACAATGATACAGAGAGAAACTGATATCCGATGTCAGCACAAGATAAAAGAAATGGTGGCACTAATGGAAAAACACAAGGTAAGAGATTGTATTGATTGCTATGATTTGTCCTGTGTGATACCATGATACATAAGAACCTTTCCAAATCAGTATATTATGAATTAGAAAGTGCAGCTTCATAAAAAAGACCTGAACCTAGGAAAATGAAGTTGAACACATGCTTGACTTTTCATCATCTAAAAATAAATTCATCTTCAGATTTTGAAAACATGCCTCTGGGCAGAAAAATGCCATTTATCTAAATTTCTAGGATTTTTTTTTCTCTAGGCTTCCTTTGATACCACCCTAATGCAGTGTCCTTCGGTGTCAGTCTGGCCTCTTTCTCGAGGAGATTCCTTGGTGACCTTCAGCAGTTTAATGTGACATATTTTAATGTACATTTTTATTCCTCCCTTTTGCAATCTATTTAGCAGATAACATTAATAAAAATAGCATGGCTTATGTGCTGGGACATGTGCTGCTGCATAGAAATTAAGCATTCTCTGTCAGCCCCCAAAATAATTCTGCTGGGGCATTTTCTGTTCCACGGTTTCTGCAGAAGCACCAGTGTTTGTTCATGGTGCTCCCTGAATCTTCAGAAGAGTCTGGTTTGAGAAAAGGACTGATGTTTGCAGACTGGGTAGATCTGTAATTGTAACATTTAGTCCAATGTTTTTGGTTTGGTTTGTTTTTTTTAAAACAGCATGAATATGACAAAATGGTTGAAGAAAAAGATGCGGAGTTAAAACTATATAAAATTAAGCAGCAAGAGCAGTTATCATCAGAAAGATCACTGGTAAGGAGTGCTTTTCAACACTAAATAATGCAATGGAGGGGCTAATGTCATCCAAGTGTAATATAACCATAAATACCATATTTTACTTTTCCTGTTTAATACTTGGAGAGGGTTAAGTGTCTGCTTTAGTGGGACTGAACAGTAAAGATCACTAATTTCTGCTTGCTTTTATTTTCTTAGAGATCTTATGTGCTTTAAAAAACCCAAACGTTTCTAAAAATAAATTGGAGTAGCAGTTGGTTTCTGTCTGCTTTTCCAGAGAGTGTACCACGTTCTGACCTCACTGTCTAAGAACCTTTAGTATCAAGTAGTTGGATTCCATCCCCCCTAACCTCTGTTCTCCCAAGGGTTTTAAGTTCTTGCCTGAACACTTCTGGTCAAGTACCTGGTTCTTATGGTACTTCAGCTCTTTTTAAAACAAGCTAAAACAGAGCTTCCACTATAGGGTTGCAAAACAAATGGATTTTTCCTTTGTTTCTAACAAATATCCCTATTAATTACTGTCTCATTTTGGCCTGTTTTCTTTTTTCCCTGCCCTTTTTCTCATCGTTTATAGGAAAGTGAGCTGTCACGTTTGAAAAGCGAACTGTCATCCCTTAAGGAACAACTGAAAGAAGAAATCGAGGAAAAGGTGAATTTTTTTAATAACTGTAGCAGTGTGGGTGACAGGTTTGGTCTGGGCTTATGCACTAGGAGAAGCTGTATAAGAAATGAAACTGTGAATAGAAAAATGACTTTTGAATGCTGCAGTTGTACTAAATCTGGCCATATGTTTATATGAACTTTGTAACAGTGTATGATAGTGGACTGTGTTCTGTAATTACACCAGGAAGATTTTTAGCAACTGAATTCAAATAAAATATTTACTTCCTATCCTGTAACTCTTTTCAGGAGAATCTTGTGAAAAAACACTCCCAAAATAGGGTTCCTGAAACTGAAATGGAGCACAAGGTAACTTTAACCAAAGAAATTATTTTAGAATTTGGTCATATTTATACATATGGAATCTAAATGAAGTTCTATGATACTTTATGTACACTCAACAAAAGACATTGAAATGCTTTTAGCTTAAACCTTTTTTAATTTTAGAAAATACGGACTTATTTTCCTGAGACTCAGATACCTCCTTGAGATTTGGACACTGAATCTACTGATGTAAAAAATAAAAAGTCTCCTTCTTATGGAAAGACTATTTTAAGTAAAAACAATCTTGCTATCAATGTCAGTGTCTCTCTGACAGAACTTTCCTGCAGTTTTGTTGGTTTCTATTTCCTCAGGTGTTTGTTGTAGTCCACAGGTGGTGGCTACAGTTCCAAACAACCTGCATTTCTGCAGATAAACAGGAAGCACTTAGATACCATGTGCCAGAAAAATCAGTTCTTCCACAGCTTCCTGCTCATTCTCCTTGCTCAGCAACCAAAAGAGATTTTCCATCCCCACCCCCTTTTGTTTGGGCCTTTGCTTCACATTTTGGCTGGAAAGATAATAATTCCACAGCATCTCCCAGGTGTCTTCTTGGACAACTCAGAGCACAAACTGGGTTGTGAGGTTGGGTTGTGAGGTTCTATACTTACCCCCAAAAACAGAACTAAGAATGTAACCATTTTCTTTCCCAGACCTATGTGATCAAGACTCCTCCAGTCCATACCCTGCAGGGGGAGAGAAGCACAACTCTGCCTCCCGAGCAGAGCACGAGGAAAAAGCAGAAAGTGCTTCTTCATCTGGACACTCACTCGGACAGCTCTGAGCACAGTGACCTCCTGGTGAGAGTCAGAGCCCAGACCTGCCCTGAGCAGTTCTCTGGGCACACTCCTGAGGGTGGAGAGAAAGCCTGGGGGCTTCCAGATCACAGACCTTACTTATATGTATATTTTTATTTACTTGGTTCTTTCTGGAACTCTATTTGTATGTACATAATTTACATGCCTGTTATTAAACTGTTCAGGCTTCATAGTAACATCTCAACTTTTTTTTGTTCATACTTTAATATTCCTGGGGGAAAGGGAAAAGTATTTTTCAGTATACTGTAACTAAATAGCTTTTTTCTTTTTTAATTTCAGAGCATGGTCTCGGAAGAGAAAATGTTTAAGAAGTTGTACCAAGATTATCCTCAAGCTTCACAATTATATTCCACAGCACCAAAAAAGGTACATTCAGATTAAACCAAACAGTTAATCAAATTCTTTCCAGAAAGTAATGGTGGCTTTATTTTCCTTGTTAGACGCCGACTCTCTCCAGTGTGAAATCTCCAGGCTCTGCACTGAAACTCAAAGCCATGAGGAAGATGCACGAGGCAGGATGGGCTGCGGTTTCCAAAGTGGACAGGAGAAGAAAAATAAAAGAAGTTGCAAAGTTCTTTGCTTAAAATGCAGAAATGACCAGTGCCCTGGCATTATTTATCAGTGCCAGTAACAGTGGCACTAATAACAGTGTTGTTATTCTTTCAGAGTTAGTACTTTGGTGCATTTTTCTGTCATACTCAGTGTGTTGAATACTACATTCATTTCCATTACACACATAAACTTCACAGATCCAGAGCTACATCCACCTGCAGAGCCTTTCCCACCTTTTCCTCCTCTGTGCT